AGGAAGGACAGGCAGAACCTTTAAGAGGTGATCAGGATCTTGCCTTCATGAATGGGTGAATCCAGTCAAGTGACTGATGGATTAATAGGTTGATGAAGTAATGGGTTATCTCCAAAGCTGGGCTATTATAACAGCCAGTGTGTCTCCCACGCACTCATCTCTTGCCCTGTGCCAGAGACTGACAGACTATGCTAGAAAAAAATAAGGCTATCATCACCAGATGTGGCCTTTTGCCTTGACCAGAACTTTTGGGCTGAAATAAACCTCTCTCCTTTGTAACTCACTCAGTCAATGTACTGTGCTATCAGTAACAGAAAATGAACTGGACAATCCTACTACTCATGTTTCTGAGCTGTCTCCTTAGGACTTAAACAATTTACTAGGAAAGGATTTTTTCCCCTGAGAAATGTCAATCTGCTCTTCAGTGATTTATTAGTTTGGCATCCCTAAGCCCCGTGCTTATGTAACTTATCTGTATAGGAGGAGTCTGCAATAGAGCTTTATATGTGATGATACGTCTGATGAGTGATCAGATGTGAAGTCATGAAGAGGAACACCTCACTTATCCAGAGGGGAGACCTGGCAGTCACAAGCATCTGTAAACCAATGTACCAGTGTCACAAAATCCATGTGTTTCTTCAACCATTCAGAATCTCATCCAGTAAAAACAAAACAAAACAAAACAAAACAATGGCAAATTGGAAACAAGAAATACACAAGCAGAAATACATTGGCAGCAAGAACAGATAAGGTGACAACAAAGATGTGGATGAGATTACAACAAAGATGAACAGGATCTGCAGGCATGCAGGGTCCACATGTCAGAAGTGGGTGTGTGTATGTGTATTTCAGATATATAACCCATGTTAACTGGTACATAGTAAATAAGCTAATTATAGTACTCGCTGACCACAAAGGCTTAATTCAGTAACAGAATAGTTATTAAATAATGTATAGATCCCTTCATTTATTAACATAGAGAAGGACAAACTTTAGAAACTGCTTGTAGGGATGGGAGGGGAAGTCAACAGGACGAAGATGTGTTATGTAATGTATCAATTCTGCACGATGTAACCAGTATGTAAGGAAAACACGCATAGTAAAAAAATATTAAAACAGAGTAAGTTAGTGTTTTTAAAACCCAATAAAACACTTCCTTAATGTGCAAAATTCTGAATGAATTATCGTTGGTAAAGCCAGACACACAAGAAATGTGACTAATGTGACTACTTTAATTTGGCTTACTTTTAAGAACAATAGTTTTCAAATGAATTAAAATGATTATAAAACATGATTGGCTATTGAGTCCCACAGATTTATTACATAGCAAGATAGAAATCTGGAGTATAAAACATTTCCAGTTTCTTCTGACATGGGATACTTCTATATGTTCTAATTAACCTTTTTAAAATATGGTTTTAAATATAACTTTGGCTTTTAAAAAATATATCAGTAAAACACAATCTTCAGCAGAACAATGATAGTCCATTTTACAGTCATGTCTTAGGAGAGTTCTTGCTTCCTCTTTTCAGACCCCGTGCTTAAAGCAACATCTGGGGCTAGTGCCCCATCTAGTGGCTGCATGAATTACCGACGCCTCCATTTTATTTGTACCGTATTTTAGAAATTACCATAGCACTTACTGAAGAGAAAATAATGCTAATTTTAAACAGCAATACCAAATTTTCTTATGAAATGCAAACTTAAGTTATTTAAATTCAATACAATTTTTAAAGTGTGGAAATCATCATACACAGTATTCATGCAAAGCCGAGATTTGAATGACTATTAATGTAAATACATTGCATATTCATTTAACTGTACTGTACTATGCATCATGTAAAGGAGACATTCAATTCAGGGCAGTTACTGCTTAAGCTGATGAACGTACATAGAGTGACTGCTGAGATATATTTTTCTCCTTTTTAACGTACCTTATTATTTATTACAGTAATGGCATTTCAGACTAGTTGGAACATCTTAAAGTTATTATCTAAACTGCACATCAGTGAAAATATATTTAACTAACTTTAAGTTTAAAAAGCTACTCCTAAGCATTTCTCTAAATTCCTCGCTAATATCTAGAAAATCATTCTCTCATATTCTTATATGTTTAAATTACTGAGTCCTAAATAATAGACAACTGATCAAGTACTACTAAAGCACAGAGATCTACACGTAAAGCCAGAATTAACCTGCCTTTCTCACAGAAAGTTCTCACTGCTGCCTGTCCCCTCCCCTCCCATAGCGTGCGTGCTTTTCATAAGTCATCTGCTATTATCCCAAATGCCACATTAATTATTGTTGGTCACACACAAGTAACTTGCTCAATATGCCTGAAGCAAAGGGAAGGTTAGAAGATATTTATTAAAAGCATGTGAACCAACCTGAATTTCTGTAGACCCAGCATTCATTACATTCTGAACACTAAGTAATGAAATCTTGTACATATTTATAAATTAGAAGCACAAGCTCACTTTGAAGCAGTTACAGCAATTAACCTAATTTTAGTTCTTCTTTTTTCCTATTGAAAAGTGATGTTACTGACTGATGGTTCAGGAGACTCTGCCTGCACAAGTTACAGCCATCTGCTGGTATCCTGGGCACTGTTTCATGACAAACACAAAACTGCAGATCTGCAAGGCCCTCATATGAAATGGTATTTACATATAACCTATATACATCTTTTCATGTACTGCAGGTCACGCTGTATGTGGTATAATACTAACACAGAGTACATGGTAGGTAAATAGATATTGTACTGTATTGCTTATGGAACACACACACACACACAGACTCTCCATGGATGCTCAGTGTACGTGCAACTTTTTCCCTACAAAATAGTTTTTATCCAAGAGTAGTTGAATCCACAGAGAACCTGCAGATACAGATATCACAAAGTCTCTGCTAAACAGACAAATGGATTTGAAACATCTTGGTTTGGGGCAGGAATTTAACAAGGCTATTTGGATGCAGGTGTGAGATAGAGATGTGGATTGGAAGTAGGACAAGTCAGTGAACTCTTTGCTCTTAAAGAATTAAGACCTGTCTGGATGGAGGTTCACAGGTTACGTCTCGGGAGTTTCTCCTTGTATGGATTTTACTCAATAACCCGAACATTAACTGGCAAAGATAGAGGAGCTGAAGAAGACAGCAAAAAGAAGGTGCGAGGAGAGGTTGCAAATCATTTCAACTTATTAGAATAATGGGCCAAATCATTCTATACCCAATACAGTGGGTATAGAATAACCCTTCTGAAGGCTGGAAAAAGTATGTGCCACCTGCAGAATGCTGATTCTGCCCTCTATCTTCAGTCAGTGCCTAAACACTTGCAAAACCATGGCATTAAATCCCTCAATAGTACCTAAAGAAAGATCTTGCTTTCTTTCACTCTTCATCATGTGGATATGTAAACCAGAGGTGTCTATGTGAAATGAGGCCAACACGTATTCCAGAAACCTCAAGGTGAACAGGAATAACATAAAAATGTGATGATTCACTGACAGACCATCTTTCTAAATAGAAACGATCCCATAAAAACATCAATAATATGGCCTGATCATACTTCGTGCTCTGATTTGTACACTTCTGGGATGTAGCATGTTTATTTAACTTCTATGTTTTTACACTCATTCTTTGATTTAATGATAAAAAAAGTTGATGTGAAAATAGTACCTAAGTAACATATGAAAACCTCTCATGGAGAAGCTCAGAATCAGGGTAAAGGAAGAATCTAGATTACGTAGAAAAGGGAAGGAATTGGGTATAGACAGGAAATGTGCAAAGGACAACTTAAAATGTGTTCAGTCAACCATTTTGAACATTGTAACATGCTAGACGAGCAAAAGGAAACTCCAGATTCTGTAATGCTTTCCTGACTTCAGGCAAGTCTCCTGTGCCACAACTACATTGCAAAACAATGATGCCCAGCCTAGAGGTTCAGTGTTCTGGGCCTGTAGTGCAGCGAGACAAATAGTTAGATGTAATAACACAGATAAGTAAATGGCAAAGAGGGCCAATTTAGATTACGTTACTACCTGAGCTTGGAAAATGGTCTGCATCATGTGGTTATTCTGTTTTCGATGGCAATCCTATTTAGGTGGCCACCTGGGAATCTGTTCCACTTGGTGCTTCCAGCTACAAGCAGATGCTGAGGTCTGATTGCTGTCAAGCACAGGCACTGGACTAGGCTGCTTGTTGCGTGGCATGTTTTACCAGGAAACCATGGGAATACATTTTCCTTTTCTACCTGGCCTTTGGTGTTGCCCTCCACTCTCCAGTCACTCCTCCTAGGAACAGAAGTGTGATTGTGAGCTCTCTTCCTATCTTCAGTCCTACAAAAGACTCCTACAGAGGGCACACAGGTACACCTGGAAACTCCGGGGACACTGGCTTGGGAGTGTAGAAGCAGAGATGGGTGGGCAAGGGCCTAACTGACAAATCATCACCTCTCTTCCTAAGTGGACAGAATAGGGGATGGAGAGAGGGTGGTAGCCAAGTCACAGAATTCCATGTGTTGGTGATCTTTGTCTCGAAACAGCGAAGACTAAGAAATCATTTCGCTACCACACACACAACAACAACAACAACAACAACAACAACAACAACAACAACCCAGTGAGATTAAAATAGGATATGTGGAAATGTTTCTAAAACTTCTCACAAATCTATGTATGCATCAATTTTATTTGTTTACAGTTTGGAGGAAATGGATTAAAAACATGATGTAAGGGGGAAGTGGATAAGGTGTAGCTTTAAGAGAAGAGAATAATTCTATCCATCGTTTGTTTACTGTGCTATGTGGACATTACTAAACCTGATGACCTTCATACTAAGATTTTGGCTGGTTTTTAAATCCAGAGAGAGAGAGAGAAAGAAAGACAGACAGACAGACACATACACACACAGATGGAGAAAGAAATGAAAATTCATCGTGCCCAGAAGAAAGCATTGAAATAATTCAGGGCAGATGAAGGCAGGCGAGGGCGGCAGCCTCGTACCTGTATGTGTCCTCCGGTGAGCTTTCAGGTGAGAACTTTTTGTGTACACTTTGTTGCATCCCTCGAAGTCACATCTGTGGATCCGCCGTTTCCGGGAGTCTGGGGATTCAGACCGTCTCTGGCGTCTTGTGCTCTCAATACTAAACGGTGAAATTGAACTGGAGAAAGAAAAGTAGAGTTACATGGTGAGATGCACAGCCTCCGTTCTGGCCGTGGGGCCTTGGACTTCACAGAATTAGGACCACGTTCCCTGCTGCCCCCAAAGTCAGGCAGCATGGCTGATGCCTGGCCAAAGAGTCCAGGGAGAGAAAAACATGCTTAAAACGACAACAATAGAAATGACAACTTAACTCCAAGTGAAAGTAGTGGCAGGTGAGTAAATCGCTCCTATCAAAAGACAACATTTGATGGTAGTAAATCAACACCTCATGGTTTTGAAGTTCAGAATATCCTTTATAGAGACTATTTTAGGAAGCCCTGCTATAAACAAAGGAAAGGAGGAATGCATTTACTAAGTACCAGGAGTGACTGAGCTGTATAAAATCACAACGCACACTGCAAAACAAGTGAGGTCGGGCTGAAAGAAAAGACATCACTATAACAATAACATGACTCATGGACAAGCGATCGCCAAGCAGTAAAATGTACCTGACATTTAACTTTTCTCCTTGGTGGTTTCTCATGGTGAGGAATAAAGTACACTGTATTTAAAGATTAGCTGTACTACTAGTATTTAAAAAAAAAAGTTTTAGCTCTGAAGTTCGGCCCTGACTTGCATGTTGTTTAATCTTAATGCACCAGTAGAAAAACAGGATTACACAGCAATGTTAGGTAATTGATTAACAAGTACCTTTTTAAAACTCTGATCTCTTTTGAAACAGAAATAAAGATTATGATTCATCAAAATTGCAGCGAAATATGATAAAGAAGTATTTCTACCATAGAAATGTATCACTCTTTATTCTGACATAGGTTGTTTTTCCATGTTAGAATGCTTTTAAAATTTGTTTTTATTAATGAGTCACCTCTTTAACAAACTAAACATTGTGGATAAATATAAATTTCCCCTTGTCTTCTACAATCACCCTAACTCCTTTCTTTAGCACCTTCCCACTCTTACTTATGTTACGTATCTGCATTTGTAGAAATTCACATACTGTCCATTGAAATAATGTAAGTAACATTATGCTGTTCATATGATTCTGCCAAGTTCTACTCTGGCTCTTTTTAATTCAACATTAAGCGTTTGAAATTTATCCATACTGATAAAATAGTTTGTTTATTTGAAATGGGATATGCTACAACTTGTCAATTCTCAGATGCACTTTTTCTTCATATTTTAACATATCTAATACCAAAAAGCTTCTTGCTTGTTATCCTTTAACTGGAATAATTTTTTCTCTATTGGTACATATAGAAATGGTGCATTTTACAACAGATGATATTTTTACTTAGACTAAAAATTGGGAAACTTTTTCCTATGGAGACAGATAGTAAATACTGTATTTCAACTTTGAGGGCCCTAAGTCTTATGTCATAACTAATCAACTCTGAAACTGTATAATGAAAACAGCTATAGGTAATATATAAAGAAGTGTGGTTCTAATAAAACTATACTTACAATAACAGTGGGTTGCATTTGGTCCATGGGTAGTTTGTGGACTCCTGACTTTCATGAAATAAGGTACTATTCAATAAATTTGCATTACAGAGTCTTAAAAAATCCATTTCTTAAGTGACAGATGCATACACTACTTCTAATACTGTTCTACTCTATTGTTCCAATATATTTTTTCTCAAATGTGTCCTTCTATATATATACACCTTTCAAGTTTTCAACATATTCTTTCCCTTCTGCAAATGGCACATTAGTCAACCAAGCTTTATATTATGTAAGATCGGAGATGAATGATGTTTGTCCACCTGTATCTCAGTCTCATGCAAGATCTGCATTAGAGTGACCAATATGCGATATGTGTGGCTTAGCAAATTTTCTCAGGCTTTGCATCAATCAGTGTAGCTTTGTGGTTTTCCACAAACTGAGTCAGTCATAGGGACAGGAGTGTATTGTGACAAGGGTCAACAGTATGACTGGCCTGCCCCAGAGAGAGCAGGTTTAGTAAAGGTTTACTTAGCTCACATTTTGCATAGGTTTTGATTTACAATCAGCTGGCTCTAGGGGGGCAGGGTGGCTTTGCAGAGAACAGTTCATGGCAGGCAGAAGACAGCAAAGTCAACAACTGATCTTAACAATGTCTTTCTGCCCCTTTTATACTCTATCCAGGCCGCAGTGCCAAGACAATCAGTGAACTGATCACACCTCCTTAATCACAGCATCATACACTTTAGATTCAGCTACCTCTGAAAAGCCCACCTCCCCATGACTGTATGAGGCTTTGGGGAGCATCTAGATACAAAACATAACATTCACTCTGTTTTGAGGCTATCCATAAATATGGGCCTATAGCAACAATGACCTGTCATTACACTTCAGGTTTTCTGTTCTTTCCTTTCTGTTTCTCTAAGCAATACGTCTGCTGTTTACAAGGCACTGGTGATGTCCTCAGATACTTTGGTACTTCAAAAACTGGACATGTTCTACAAGAACAAAAACGTACATGAAGCTACTGCCTTTGCTAGCACAGAATTCCTGCAATAATCCTTGTTATAATCTTGGTATGAGGCAAAGTAGTTGTTGCTGCATTCTCAACTGCAGTACTAAATACATCGTCCAGTGCAGAAGAGCAATAAACTGAGGCCCACTCCCTTCCCCAGGAGATTGGGCCAGTTAGAGGGGTACGAAAGCCTGCAGGGGTGTCCTGGGCACTACATGACAAAAATTAGACCTAGAGAGAACAAATAAGTGAATCATAACAGTCCCACTTGGAATGGCAAGTTAAATTAGAATTACACCCAGAGAGGCTCAAAAAGTCATATCCAGAAACAGGTCTATTTAAATAGAAAGCATTGCATGGCTGCCATGAAAGAAATTAGGGTTAACTGTAATCAGCAGGTAATAAAAGACCATTTGTCATGGGTGACCTTAGTGTGATGAGATGCCCTTCACTGAAATTGGAGTTCCTACAGGAGCTAAGGAAAAAAAAGCAAGGACGTTTTTTCAAGGCTAGAAGAGGACACACAGAAAATGTAAAAATAAGAGCAGAAAACAGGGCCACAGAGGGGCTCAGCAAATTCCAAACACACCAATCTCAGCAGGGCTCCAAGAAGCCTGAGGACATGAGGACACTGGCAGGTAACGTTAGTAGCCATCTCTTACAAATGAAGAAACTGAGGCACAGAGAAGTTAAGGCAGAGCAAAGACAAAGATGATGGCTATTAGAGGATTTGGACTCAAGAGGGTAATTTCAGAGCTGAATCTGAGTGTCTCACTTCACTGATTCAGACAAACAGGCAGGCATTACAGACCAGCACATGTTAGAACAACCAAGTAATTAGTAACTGGTAACTTCTCCCTCTAATCTAGCCATCTCAAACAACAGCATACCAAACATCCCTAAATGTAGCCTTCTATAAGATACTTTTTAGCCAGATGTTTAGCTCAGTGGCTCAAGTGGAAAGCACCAGGTCCTGAGTTAGATTTCTGGTACCAAAACAACAACAACAACAACAACAACAACAATAAAGACAGTTTAAATGATAATTTTAAGGTAAGCCCCGAGGCATGTAGTACGTTTACTATTTTCCTAAGAAAACAGTTTTTTAAGTTCTAAATTATAATTATATATTTATTCTCATTTTTTTCTTTCTTCTTTTTTTTTTTTTTGGTTTTGTAGTCCTGGGAATTGAGCCCAAAATCTGTGTCCTATGTGCTTTATCACCAAACTACTCTGTACATCCCTTTGAGAGCCGGTTCCCTTCAGGTTCTCCAAGCTAGCCTTGAACTGTCAATCTATGTGCCTCAGCCTCCTAAGACACTGGGATTGCAAGCATGGGCCACCACTCCTGGAGGGAAAATGATTTTTTTTAAAACAAGCAGCTGGCATTAGTATGTGACAGGGACCATCAATGCTCTGGCATTCTGATTCTCTCTGTCCTGGCCATACCATCTCATTCACAACTGTACTAAAAAAAATTCTGAGTTGACTGCACAACGGAGTTACCTTACAGAAAGTAGGGGGCACTGCTGTGAAAAGTGTATTTCTTACTGTTTTCAAAGCTTATTTTAAAACTATTCTGATAAAGACATTAAGCATCACCTGCTGGAATTCCTGATTAGTTTCTGCCAGAGAATACATGTAAGTAGAATAACATCCTTGTTAGTAATCAAACACCTTGGGAATAAATTACCAAGGCCATATCCAAAGGACAGTAGAGAAGACTTTCCGTTCATCTGGATTTACACAAATCCCAGGGAGAGATTCTGTTCACACAGACAAGCCAGGCATCTGCTATTCTGTAGACTTTCCCTCAGCCAGCAGATGGCTCTCAGAAGCATCTTCATACTGCAACACGCCTTCCTCCCAACAAACCACAACCTCCCTTTCATTGGAGATATTAACTAAGGGAAAGGTGCTGTGTAGATATGCTCACTTCCAAATCCCCAGGGGACACACCCCAAAACAGGATGGTTTCATCAATGTAAGGTTTTCCTTCATGCTTGTCTGTAGTTTCCTACATAAAACTGGTACTGAACAGACTGAAATTCTAAGATTAGTAGTTGTCACCCTTTCCAGAAATCATGACTAAGACATTATGTCACTTCACATTTGAATCTGGATTCAATAAAAATGTTTTTACAGAATGTATAAATCAAGAGCAATGTATTTGCTACAATGTGTCAAAAAACTCAATCTCATAGACTCAAATTAGTTTGACACTTTTTCATACGAAGAGAATATGCCTGAGATACATTCTAATTGTCATTTCGTTTATTTAGTACAGAAGTCTCCTGTGAATTTAATGGAGAGAGAATGAGCCTTTTTGGATGTGAGGGTCTGGGATGAACTCACGGTGCATCGTGGTCCTACTCAGCTATAAGGACTGACTGCCACTAAGGGTTTCCCTCATATTTTCAGAGTCTTACAGGCTTATCTTCTTGGTCTCTCCTTTTTTTTTCATGATATTTTAGCAAGTATTATCAGTACTATTAAGGAAAATTATTAAAGATAATCAAAACAGAGAACAGTAATCATGACTG